TCCTCACCACCACCGTCGAACACACGACCGGTGCAGATGTTGCGGTTATGACACGACAGCACAATTGTCTGACCTAGAAAAAGGTCAACAGTTTCCGACAGCACAAATTGTGACCTACGTCGATGCCTCCTTTGCCATGGACGCGGGCCGGCGCTCGCGCTCCGGCATCGTCATCTGCGTCAACAACATGCCTGTGTATTGGCGCTCCAGCAAGCAGACGATCACGGCACTCTCCGCAGCAGAAGCTGAATACTCTGCTATCACCGAGGGCATCAAGCACACCATTCACGTGAGAGACCAGCTTGACGAAATGATGATCAAGCACAGCACTCCAGTCATCCTCACCGATTCGATGTCTGCCATACACATGGCAAACTCCGACAAGATTCAGGAACGCACCAAGCACTTGGGCATACGCATGCAGTTCACACGCGACCACGTACGGAAGCAGACCGTCGAGCTGCAGCACGTGCCCTCTGGTGACCAAGTCGCTGACATGCTGACCAAACCCTTGCACAAGGGTGCGTTCCACCGACTGGTGCAGAAGATTATGCATCACGAATGAACCAACCACCACGATCAAGATTCTCCCAAGGCGCATCCATTCAGGAGGGTGTGTCAGCGGAAATTCCCGATGACATGTTTGTGTGTATGAGTGAGTGTGAACGAATGCGTTGTCTTGACGTGTGGGAACACCATGATTTCACCATGGTCTGACTTTGTGAAAGACCCTCTTTGTTTGTCCCTCTATCAGGTGATCTCCTGATACACAATGTGTGAATGTACACGTGTCACTTTAATAGTGTATACGTGTACCCTCTTCCTCTATCATATGCGTGATATGTACTGCATGGTGTTCATTCTCTTCTGTCCCCGATTCCAACGACACCACTGCGTGGGTTGTCTACCAAGGTTTACTTCAGCTGTGAAAGCTCTCAATACAAGTCTCAGGGAAAACGCTGAGGAACAATCTTGTCAAATTCAGTGACACAGCAGCACGCAACAAGCGAAACTGCACTGCCTTTTTGTGTGAGCCAGCCGGTGCTACACGCCATCACACAACATGCAGGCAACCACCCAAGAATAGCGCATGCACAGATGATGTGACTGTGATGATGATGTGACAACATGTGGAGGAAGAAGAAGCATGGGAACAAGAAGCAAGGGAAGCAAGCAGGGCCACGCAGCCCGTTTTTATTTTCGGTGACATGACATGAACAGTGGAAATTACAACAACGACCAAACGTCAAAGGCTTGTCAACACGCCATCAACACACATCTTCATGCACGCGCACGCACCATACACACTACGCAGGCAGGCAGGCAAGCTGCTCCTCCTGTTTCAATGGAGGATCACATGCAAGAGAACGACGACACAGCAACGCAACAACAATCGACGGTGGGTAAATGCAGTTTGTTTCTGTGTGTTGCTGCCTGCATCTGGCACGAACCGACAAGTGTAATGGACTTGGCATGCCCAGTGTAACCAACAAAGGGAAACAAGCAGCGTGGTAGCTGGATTGGGTGGCTGGCTGCAGCTATTGTGGAGGGGCTTGTCTCGACTTGACACGTGCAAGGCGCTGCTTGATGGCATCCAACTCTGTCAGATGAATGGCACGTGCAAACACACAACACACACGCACGCACGCACACACACACACACACACGCACATTTCGTAGAGAAGAGAAGAAAGTGTCAGTCATCATGTCATTACATCGTTGCCATCGGGCAGCCGCACACAAACAAACACACCCACAATTATTGACCATCACGGAGAGACCCCACACAAGTAAGCGAAGCCACCCCACCCCCCAAGCGCAGAGTGGTGTGCGCTGCACACGTGGAAAGCACACTGCAAGCAACTCAAATCATGCTGTGATGCGCAGCTGGATCGAGAAGTCGTTCAACTCACTCGAGGCAGACGTGGGCTCTTTGGGGCTCTGAAACTCTTCCTTGTGCTGCTGCTGCTGCTGCTGCTGCTGCTGCTGCTGCTGCTGCTGCTGTTGCTGTTGCTGCTGTGGGAAAGGTGAACTGAAGGAGAGACTGCTCATGTTGGCGCCATCCAGGTCCGGCAATGCACTCTCTGCCCGTTGCGTGTACATGTGCATGCATGTGCATGTGTGCGCGCGTATGTGTTACTCCAGTTTGAGAAAGCAAGGGCAACAGACATGAGAGGTCGACGCAAGCCTTTGATCGTAGTGTGCTTCACGCATGTATATACACACGCGCGTGCATGCATTGTCACACCTTCAAGCAAGCGAGCGTCAAAGCTGGACGACAGGATGAAGGAAGGATCGTTGCTATGCGAGCTGCAGCACCAATGCAGCCATGAGAGGAAGCCAACGCAACACAAATATACATGCGAACGCATTTGCGTCATGTATGAACGTGGTGTGAGCGAGTCTGTGTGTGTGTGCGTGTGTGTGCACTGAAACAGAGCCAACACGTAAGAGCAACGCATGAATTGTGTAGTGCGTAGACAGGCAAGCTGCTTGCCTGTAGAAGCTCTGGCGTGCTGGGGACGGCGTAAAGGTTGGGATGGACCTGAAGGCCACATGAGCACGCAGCACACAGCACACATTTCCATGAATGCGTGAGATACAACGAAATCGTGTGTACGCAGACACACGCGCACGCACAGCGGTGGGCACACAACAGTCAGACAAACACACGCACATGCAGGTGAATAGCAATCAACCGCATTCTCCCCTGTGCAACGCGCATGTGCACGTGCACGTGGCAGCGAACAATCAACAACGGTGTAGTGCTGTTGTACCTGAACTTGCTCGGTGACGTCGGTTCTGAGGTCGCTGACACACGACCGCCACTGGCAGACAACATCGAGTCCAGCAGCGCTGACACGCGCGGGGAGTGGTGCAGGTGGTGTTGATCATCATAATCATAATCATCATCTTGTTGTTGTTGTTGTTGTTGTTGTTGTTGTTGTTGTTGTTGTTGTTGTTGTTGTTGTTGTTGTTGTTGTTGTTCAAGTTGTTGTTCTCGTGCCTCCTCCTCCCGCAACATGACCTCCAATTCCGCCAACTCGTGCTCTGCATCATCAACTCGCCAATCTCTCCTCCCACGCTCCAATTCTTCATTTCCATCACCATCAACGCCCCCTCCGCTTTCCGCTGCGCCGTGATGCTGCATGGCTGATGGTTCCAGTGCCTGGTGCTTATCGCGTTGACCATGTGGACTGCCTTTCTCCCGTGCTTGTTGAGGGCTCTGTTGCTGCTGTTGCTCTGCCTTGAGCGGCGTGCGCGCGAGCTTGTCCCTGGATGTGTCGCACCACAAGCAAACACCACAAGCAAATAACATCGGACACGAAACACACACACACACACACGGGGCCGTAAGATCCAAACGGGCAACTACGCAGCCTGCACACAAGTGCACATGCACAGGCATACTTCGGCAACAGCGCGCATCTGAGCACAAGTGCAGTGCACACCTTGAGGTGAAAGCAAAGGACGGGTCGATGGCCTCCAACATGTGCTCTTGTGCGTGGAGCTCACCTGCGCATGCAACGCACGGACACGGCGGTGTCCGAACGTGAGAAGCCACAACCATCAAGCAATAAATAAAAGACATCGCGCAGCAAAGCGCTCAAGCGCATGGCATTTCACACAGCATCATACCACACACACACACAACACACACACACCATCAGGCAACCACAACACATCGCATCACGCTGCGTGGCAGCAACAGAAGCAACAGCAGCAGCAACAACAGCAACAGTGGCTACTGACCAGGAGCGTGTGGGCGTGGCGGGGACGAGAAGCGGTCGTCAGCAACAGGCGCACCGGACCCAAAATCCAGCTGATGCTTCTGTCGCCGCTTCTGCGACGCTGCTGCTGCTGCTGCTGGTGATGATGACAACGACGATGTTTGAGGCGCGCGTGCTGGTGTTGACGTGACTGCTGGTGGTGGTGGAGATGAGGAAGGTGATGCCACCATGCCCTCCACGACCGCCGCGGCCAAATGATCCAATGCCTCGTTCTCCGATTCACCAGCACGCCCGCGTCCCTTTCTCGCAGCTTCATGCTCCTCCTCCTCCTCCTGGCGTTGCTGGTGGTGGTGGTGCTGCTGCTGGTGGTGTCGGCGTGGCAGTCGCGTGGCAGGTCCGGCGCGAGTGTGTCCTGTTCGTCCATTGATGGATGCTGGTTTTCCTGCTGCTGATGTTGCTTCTGCTGTTGCTGTTGTTGCTTCTGTTGGTGGTGCTGGTGGTGCTGGCGAGGACGTGGATGCTGCTGTTTCTGTTTCTGTTTGTGCCCGTGCTGCTTGCGCTGTCCACGGTGCACCCGCAGCCTTCTGTCGCTGCTTCTGTGCGGTGGTGCCGGTTGCGCGAAGTGGCGTGACACGTGCGGGCGAACGCTGCGCCTGTTGCACAACGGAAGCGATGGCGGTCGCGGGAAGGGGGACAAGTTCATGGACGAAAGACACCAATAGCACGTGTTGTGAGCGGTGGTGACGCGACACAACAGTGTTGCAAGCGAGATACACTCAAGCCACATCACCACACAAGTTCGCATGAGAACACCAACCATGCACACGCAACAACATGCATCACGACCACCACAACATGTGATTTGAGCACCTGTGTGAGAATATCACGCACAGCGCGCGGCGTCTGCACGCGAAGCGGACGCGCGAGTGCCGAGCTGCGGCTTGTGGTGTCGCGACCTGTTGGTGTCCGGCTGATGAGGCGGCGCATGTCCTCTGTGCGCATGGGGGAGGACGGCACGTCCGATGGGGACGCCTCGTCAACATCTGCTTGCAGGCACAGGAGGCAAATGTGTGAGGCAGCCCCGCTCCAGTGTGTTTGTCTGGTTGTCTGTTTGTCGCGCTGTGTGTGTGTGTGTGTGTGTGTGTGTGTGTGTGCAGGTGTGTGCATGTGTGTGCATGTGTGTGTGTCTGCCTGCCTGCCTGCTTGCTTGTATCTGTGTTTGTGTGTGCGGTTTCACGCCCACGTGGGGGAACAGCATCTTCAAATTGCATCGTACCACGCATGACGGCGAGTGAGGTGTCGAGAAGGGACGTGGAGGTGCCACTCGCGTTCATAATCTGAACAACAAATGCATCACAACAGCAAGCACGGCAGCAGAAGAACTCAAATGAGACGCACAGAACTGCGTGATGCAACTGCTATCACGCATGCACACAAAATCTAAAAGCGGAGCCACGCTCGCTGAAAACACACAACCACGCACAATGCAGCCCCGCACAACACCACATGCACATCACCAAACCCCGTTACCTTTGGCGTTGCGGGAAGTCGAGAAACAGGCGGAGATTCAAACGCCATCGCGTTGCCACCGCCAACACCGCCACGCTGCTGCTGCTGCTGCTGCTGCTGCTGTGCGTGCACGTGCCTCAGGAGGATGTCCACATCTGTGCGAAGGGCGCCAATGCGGGCGTTGACGTCGGCCAGCACGCGGCCACGCAGCTGCTCCAGCGCCGTGTGCAGCGACTGCAGGTGGTGCTGCTGCCCGGAAGCCGTATCGCGCAGGGCAGCGCCCGCAGCCACCATATTGGGTGGTGGTGCCTGCGATTGCGATGGCGACGATGGTGATGGTGGTGTTTGTTCGTTGTGTGGTTGTGATTCGGACACGGCAGTCTGACGGCAGAAGAGAAGGCGGGTTGCGAGGCATGCGATGATGGAGTGCAATGATGCGTTGATAATTGGTGGTGAGAACAGCGCGGCAAGAATTATCGCACTTTGCAGAACAGGCAAAACCTTTCATCTCACTCACACACACACGCACTCACTCACACACTCACACACGCACTCACTCACACACTCACACACGCACTCACTCACACACTCACACACACACGCACTCACCCACACACTCACACACTCACACACACACGCACGCTCACTCACACACACACACCCGCACACACACACACACCCGCACACACACACACACCCGCACACACACACACACAACATTGCCAGGGGCGACACCTTGATTCGGTCGAGTGCCGTGGACCAGAGGCGGATGAGAGCGCTCAACTTGATCTGCCCGCTTGCATTGACATCCAGCCCGCGCCCGCCTGCAAGTGTTGTGTGTGTGTGTGTGCGTGTGTGTGTGTGTGTGTGTGTGTGTGTGTGTGTGTGTGTGTGTGTGTGTGTGTGGCACACAAGCGGTGGGTAGTCAAGCATGTAACAGAACGAATGCAACTTTGTCGTCGCCGTTAAAATGAATGACAGCACTACAGCAAAGCAACAACATGAGAAACACAACAAGCAACATCATCAACATGCAAACATCATTGTCATGTTTGTGTTTGCGTGTATGTGGGGCGCAATATGATTGCGCTAACCCTGGGCGACGAGGTCTTGTGGAATGTGAAGCGCTGTGGTGCTCAGGTCCAAACACGATTGCTGGGGGGAGGCATGTGACAGCACACACGTACACACGTACACGTACACACGTACACACGTACACGCGTACACACGCACACACGCACACGCGTACACACGCACACATGTATACGCGCATGCACACACACACAAACAACGAGAGAAAGGCAACGGAGTGAGAACGCCCTTAACCCATTGCAAAGGTGACAAGGGACGTACAATGACGCACGCGTGCAACGACACACATACACATACACACGCCAATGGATCTGTATTTTGGCACATGCACACACGCGTTCAAATGTGCGTACCTCCCGCTGTTCATGTGCGCGTGCTGCAAAGGCGGTTGCGGACTGAAACGCCATCACAAGATCGGAAGAATCGTCCACACGCGCCCACCGCTGCATGACGTCATCCACAGCAGACACGCGGGCATCTGCTTCCGCCTGCCCGCATCATTGCGTGCGTGCGTGACATGTGTAAGTGCGTATGTATATGTGCGTGTGTGTGTGTGTGTGTGTGTGTGTGTGTGTGTGTGTGTGTGTGTGTGTGTGTGCGTGCGAAGGAAGAGACCGATGCTAGTACAAATGAGCAACACATCATTGAGGAACTGCACGCAAGCACACACACACACACACACACACACACACACACACACACACACACACACACACTGCTGCTCGGTCCATAGACTCACAGACGCAATAAAAGACAATCACGGGTACAGATTGACCTTTTCTTCTCTTCGCGTCAGGAAGCGCAACGAGTTTACGTTACTGTCATTCTGGAACTGATGAGGGAACCCACCCGACGTATTCAAGAATTATCCCATTATTGTCATAAGTGGGTTTGATTCGCAGGTTTGTCCTATAACAATGGAGTTGCCATTAGGCTCAACCGTGATCCCGTGATGCCCCTCATGAATAGCCTCTAGCGACACACACACACACACACACACACACACACACACACACACACACACACACAAGCACGCACACATACACACCTGCGCATCGTATTTTCCGTCAATGCCGAGGGCGTTCAGGTCCCGCGTCAATTTGACCCGCTGGCGGTGCAGCGCCCTGCTCGCGATGGAGTGATGAGACAACGAAGAGGACGCCAAATCAACGTGAGCAGCGATGTGTGTGTGTGTGTGTGCGTGCGTGTGTGGTGTGAGTGTGAGTGTGTGTGTGTGGTGTGTGTGTGTGTGTGTGAGTGTGCTTTTGAAGTTGTTCTTGTGGTCCAAGCAATATGTCCTCGCGAGCATGCAGCAAGCGACCACAAGGACCAGTAACGGCAACAACGACGACGACGACAACAACAACAACAACAACAGCAGCAGCAGCAGCAATAACTACCATGTGTGCACTCCACCTATATCTGCGGGTGATGGCGGCGGCGGCGCTGCGCCAGTTCTGCTGAACAGCGACAGCATCTTGACACTTGCGCACAAATCTGCCGCACACGCACACGCATGTGAATGTAGAGAAGTAATTCGTTCTTGAACACGCACACGCACGCACCCACACACGCACACACACACACGCATACACGCACACGCACATGCGCACACGTGCACGCACACACCTGCGCGCGAGCATGGCTGTCTTCGCCTGCATGATAGAGGTGGCCATCTGAGGCAACAGAGAATTCCAATGTGTGCGCAGTGAGCGACGCAAGAATGACCAAACTGTGCCTTCTCGCATGAACAATTGTGACCACAGAAGAAGCGCGTAGAGACGCGAGTGACCGCACAGGAGGACACAGAATCGCAGACACATGCATACACACACACACATTCACATATACACACGCACACGCACACACACACAAACACACACACACATTCGCATTCACATGTACATACACACGCACACACGCATGAAGATGTAGAGACATACGTTGGTTTGGCTTGGAGGGACGTCATTGGACCACTCCCAGGCATGGTAGCGCGTGTTGAGGGAGAGAAGACGCTTGTGCAGCACCAGCGACGACAGGTGAAGCAGAAACTCCTCAGCCTTGTGTCCTGTTGTGCGCAAGGTGCAGTGGAGCGAGTCGCGGGGGAGGGGGCAAGTGGAGTGCTGACGTGAGAAAAGGACACGCGGCGAACACACGCGCAACACACAGCCACTTGTAGGAAAACAACAACAACAACAACAACAACAACAGCAACAGCCAACTTTGCTACTCATATTCGGGTTTGTGATCACACCTGCAGGGGACAGCATGGCTATGGCAGCTGTTCGCTGGATCTGGGAGTTGGACGCCTCCTACAGCACAGCACACGATAAAACATAAGGGATGAGTGACACGCGTTTACGAGGTGTGAATGCACGTGCACTTGTTCATGCTCGTAGCCACTCGCACGCACGCATTCACATTCAAACACACAGGAACGAACACATTTAAGCATTCGCACGAAGCATTCGTACACACGCACACACACACACATACACACTGCAGTTGCACACCTCTCCAAGTTCTTTGATCCATGTGGCGGCCTCTTTCCGAAATGTTGATTCTTGCTTGCGGTCAAGCGGTGGCCAACAGTATCTGCGGTTTCAAATGCATGCAAGCAGCCGTCAGCAAACGATGTGCGCGAGAACAAAGCGCAGCCGCCAGCAGTGCTCAGTTTGCAGGACACTCACTTGAAGCGTTTCTTCGCCTGTTTCGCGTCATAGGCAGTCAGCAGGAAGTGCACAAGCGCATCCATCGCCGCATGGTTGGTTGACTGGAACATTCGTCTGGAGAGTAGTTCATGTTTGTGTTTGTGTGTGTGCGTGTGTGTGTGTGTGTTTGTTTGTTTGCGTGTGTGTGTGTTTGTGTTTGCGTGTGTGTGTTGTGTGTGTGTGTGTGTGTGTGTGTGTGTGTGTGTGTGGTTGGTTGGGGAGCAGCTGTTGGAAGGAGGGCAATGGCACAATGGGCGCACGAATAGCGGACCGCTGCACAGTGATAAACACACACACACACTCAGGACAAACTCTCGTCTGCTTGATTCACGTACGGGCTGAGCTCGATGGGCTTGCCCTTGTGGGAGCTGACGGCCCCAAACCCCAGCAGCTGCACATTCGTCACAATCAACGCCTGCCGTTGTTGTGTGGCAAGTGCAGTGAGTGGACGAACATGCTGCGACAAACAAACACAAAATGCAGACACAAAATGCAAACACACGACCACCACACGCCACACGCCACACCACACCACCACCAGCACATACAGTATGCCCATCATCGAGTCGTTTGTCGCATGCCAAACGCATCCTCACCCCAGCCGACGGCGGTGCGTGCTGCTGCTGCTGCCGCTGTGCAGTGGTCATGGTGGTCGCCAGTTGAAGCAGTTCGCCGTTGCTGTTTGTCGACACCACAAAATGCAGTTACACAAACCAAAACAAACTGCGCTTCTTCCAACCAACCATGTCCACGGCTCGCAAACGCTGCATGATCCAAGGTGGTGTGGTGGTGTGGTACACACGCCTCGCTCTCCCCCCCCCCTCTCTCTCTCTCCCTCTTTCTCATGGTTCCGTGCTGACTGTGTTGGCCTGTCGCTGTTGTTAAGTGTCGCAGATGCATGAATGTAACCCTGCTTCTCCCCGTCTGTCAGGGTGCACGAGCTGGGAGTTTGACCCAGAGGTGCACATGTGCCGCAACTGCAGCATCCAGTACAAGCAAGTGGCAGATGCGGTCCGAAAATATGTCAAGGCGCCCGTCCTCAGAGGTGTGTACGCATGTGTATTGTACAAATTGCAATGGGTGCGCTTTATTGTCAACTGTGTCTTGTGTCTTGTGTCTTGTGTCCTGTGTACACTGTGCACCGCGTCCGAGTATTGTGCCCGGTGCACAAGACTCTGTCGCACACACACACGCGCGCGAGCGCGCACACACACGCACACACACACACACACACACGCTTGACCACACTCACACCCGTGCATGCTCGTACCATTCATGTACAAGGCGGACTTGTGGTGACAAAGCCCATCCAAAGCCCCTTCTATCTTGGGCTGCAAGAAGGAGACAAGATCGACATCCTGGACATTCTTCCTGACAACACATCCATCATCGTCCGCACACCAGACGATATCGTGGGGTACTTTAACCTCGACTGCGTCGCCACAGAGGAAGAGGTAACAAGCTGTACTTGTCGTGCTTTGTGTGTGTGTGTGTGCGCGCGCATGTGCGTATCTGTTTCTGCTTCGCTTGCTCGCTTTCTCCATTACTTCGTGCGGCCCCTACTCATGTGCGCAGCCACTGACGCACACGAGCTCAATATCCTTCCTGCTGGTTTGCAGATTGTGCAAAACTTCCAGCAGGAGGAAGAGAAGCGGCAAGAGGAGGAAGAGCGCCGGGCAAAAGAGGCGCAGCGGCAAGCTGAGGAGCAGTATGAACAGCAGCTGCGCGAGGTTGGTGGTGGGGGAATCTGTGCAACCTTCACGTGCTTGCAGGCAATGGCATCTCGTGTGCAGTGCTCTGCTTAGCTGACATGCATGAAAAGAATGCACAACCCCTCTGACTCGCTCGCTCAATGAGTCTCTCGTTTATTTCACACCCACACACATTCACATGCATACACCCGACACGACATGACGCGACGCGACTCACATACAAACCCCCAAACGCACACGGCATGTGTGTGCGTGTGCACAGCGCATGAAGTTGAAAGCGATTGAGGACAAAGAGCGGCGCCTGCGCGAAGCGGAACAGCGGAGGATTGAGCACGAACAGCGCATGGCTCAGGTGCAGACGTGCATTTGGGTGGTGTGTGGAAGGGGGGAGGGGGGGTCTGTGGATGTCTGTGTGCGTGTGTCTGTGCGTCTGTGTGCGTGTGTCTGTGCGTCTGTGTCTGTGTCTGTGCGTCTGTCTGTCTGTCTGTGTGTGTGTGTGTGTGTGTGTGTGTGTGTGTGTGTGTGTGTGTGTGTGTGTGCGTGTGTGTGTGTGTGACGTTCAGCCATGCCTCAGCTGCCTTGACTCTGTCACTTTTGTTCTGCGTGCAGTTTCAAAGCGACCCATTCCTCCTCATTCACACACTCAGAGTGACCGACACTTCGCACACACACACACACACTCACAATGGCCTACATTGTTCCCGCACGCGCACGTGCACACCACAGCTTGAGCAGGCGCGCCAGATTGAAGGCGCAGCAGCGGGCGGAGGAGGAAGCGAGGAAGGAGGCCC